TCTTGGCTGCGGCTCGGGCCAGGTGCTCCTGCAGCTGCGGCACAAGACAGAGCCGGCTCACCGGGGCGGAGGGGTGGCAGCAGCCTTCTGGCGGGAGAGCGGCCTGCCCTGGCCGGGGACGCCCGACCCCCCACCCGAACGTGCTGCGAGCACCTAGAGTGTCGTGGAGGGGAGAGACCGCGCACCCACAAAGGAACCTCCGGGCTCTCAGGGGGCCTCGCCCAGATATTGAAACTACACGTGCAGGGCCCACTCCGCCACGCTGCCACGGCCCCTCGAGACCCCCTGCTGGGGTAAACAGGTGCTAAATGCCCCAGGCCAGCTGGCGTAAGCGGGGCCCTCTGCCCGCACCAGCCCCGTGGGAGCGGCGATGGGGAGCCCTGGCCCTCAGAAGAGCTGGGTTCCACTCGGCTCGTCCGGCAGCACCGGGACCCCTCCCGCCCCCCAAGTGCATGGAGCAGACAGACAGACGCCCCCACCCTGCCTGCTCCACTCCATGCCCATTCCCGCCCTCTGCCCAGCTTCCGCCTGGCTCCTTCCCTCCCCTTCTGCCGCCTGCCCAACCGCCCGGCCTGGCTCGCAGGTCTCGGGACCCCTCCCGCCCCCCAAGTGCATGGAGCAGACAGACAGACGCCCCCACCCTGCCTGCTCCACTCCATGCCCATTCCCGCCCTCTGCCCAGCTTCCGCCTGGCTCCTTCCCTCCCCTTCTGCCGCCTGCCCAACCGCCCGGCCTGGCTCGCAGGTCTCCAGCACAACTATCCTGCAGTTGCAGCTGGTGGCCACCAGGGGACAGTCACAAGTAGCCAGAAGGCCCCTTTCTGTCACCTCATGCAGCACCCCCTGCTGGATCTAAACAGGGAAGCAGCCGCTGGGGGTCAGAGAGTTGGGCACATCACTGGCCCCAGTGGCTCCCCCTCGGGCACCCACCAGGGTCCACCCCTCTCCCTAGCATCCCAGGCCCTCTCTAGAACACGCGCCCAGCTGGCTAGGGGCTGTGCAGCTCCGTGCACAAAGCTTAGACAGGCAGACTTTTCAAGTATGCAAATTAGCTCGTTCTCTAATCTGCTAAAAAGTGGGGAAACAGGGGGGGAGGGGAAGGGTGCCCAGGGCGCGGGATTGCTGC